TGCAGCTCATTTTTCAAAGTAATGAATTAAAGATGAGTTTGATCCAAAAAAATTAGAATAGTTCTCTTCTGTTGCCTTTTTCAATTAAGAAACAATAGTAGACATTTTTCAGACAGATTGTAGAGGACTCTGTTTATGCAGAAACTTAACATTTTCAGCCCTAGCAAACCTTCATTTATTTTAATTTGAGGTTCTATAAGGATCTTTTAGTGCTTTAAATGCCAAAGCCTCTGTTTTAAACAGAGCAAGAGAAATTGGAAAATTAAAATTTCAGTCCCTAAAACTCTGACAAATTCATAGGGTATATTTTATCAACAAATCAGAAAGTTGGCTCAATTTGTAAAGTGTGGTGCTGACAACACCAAGTCAAGGGTTGAGATCCCCTTACCGGTCATCTTTAAAAAAAAAAAAAAAGAAAAATGAGCTGCAAAACAAAGAATCTCTTCCTTTGCCACTTATGATCTCTCATGGTGGGTTTTGTTGGGGCTGACTTGTTTATTCCCGTTCTCTGAATTGTGAACAGTTTTGAGTTTGGGGCTGGGTTTAGTCAAAGCTGTAGATATGAATTGACATGAAAGCAAACCTTTTTTTTTAAATTAAAATTTTGCCAGATAACATCAAGAACATGAGGTCCCAAATATGAAAATAAACTCAGTCTTATTTTTCTAGGAGGGAAATTCTAAATGTTGAAAAAAAAAGTATTATGTTGCTCGGTCAAAATAAGGAGTAAAAATATCAAGAGAGCACATAACTTTTTATGAATTCTCATTGTTGCTCATCTTTTAGAGATTAAAAATAGGCTGATAAGAGAAAAGTTGGGTTTAAGAAATTTAGCCCAGAATGGCCAAAAAATAATCCCCAAACAATGATTTACATATATCTGGTTTATAGATTTTCATAATTTACAAACTATACATCATTTGCTTGTCCAGTCTTTTGAATGGAAAGTGTGTGCGTGTGTGTTAGGAAAATAATTTTTTAATAAAGTTTACCACAAGAAAATATGGATGCTATAATTTTCTCACAAGAATTAAAAAGGTATTTTTATAGGGCAGGCTCTTCCTGTCTGTGTTGTTCTCTAGGGGAGCAAGAACGGTGAGGAGATGATCATCTCCACGGAGGCAGACGGAGAGCAATTAATGCCTTAATGGAAGTGTAATTAGCCCTAAAGGTCTCTGCTGCTGTGACCCTTCAGAACAAGGATGACAGATTAAAACCTTCTATGCTTAACTCTTTCTAGTTTCCACACTGGGCTCGGAGGAACACACAGTTACTAGACATGGAATGCTCATTTCTCTCACTTACCAGAATGTGTCCTAAGATGCCCTGTGAGCGCATCTCTTCTCTGGCATGCGTAGTTGCAGAGGTGACACTTAAAAGGTTTTTCCCCTGTGTGTAGTTTAATGTGGCGGAGGAGGTTACCTTTCTGAGTAAAAGATGCCCCACACTGATTACACTGGAATGGGCGTTCACCTTTAAAAAGGACAAAAAAAGGAGAATTCTGATCACCAGGCAAGTAGAGAAGCATATGCACAGATTAGATACCTATGGCAGAAGCGAACTTTTAAGACAGTTTCTGTTCACGTTGGGATCAGTTGGGGACTGCATTTCAAGGCAAACATAAAACTTACTTATGGACTCTTCCCTTTAGAAGAGAAAAAGCGCCCATCTATCAAGCTATGTTAGGTACGTCTTGTCTCGAATCAGAGCAAAGAAACAAGTAGCTATAGAAGTGCTTTCTAGATGTAAGTTTTTATGTTACTTAGCATTCTTTTTTAATATAATCTCCTCTGAAAACAGTCACAGACTCAGGTCCTAATAAGGTGTTGAGGTCAGAAATGCTTCTTTTTAAAGTCTTCATGTTTGTCTAGCAACCAAAAAAAAAAAGTCCTCATATCAGATGTTATATGGAATCTATTGGCTCAACAGGATTGTTGTGTTTGTATGCCTGTTTACTGTCTGAAGATAAATTCTTTAAAACTGCTAACAAAAACTATATATTTTCATCTTCCAAATTTGAACCCATTACAGAAGGGAGATCTGTTTTTATTAAAAGTGTTATGCAAAAATATATGAAAGATGTCTAAGAAGCAAACCACACAATTTAACTCCTACTTATTAACTGAAGAAAAAGTATTTGGCTGACCTAGAACACTGTGCTCTCTACGGTCTTTTTAAACTCACAGCATTTGCAATATGTTTGCCAAATGCATGGTGAGGCGGGAATAAAAATCACGGAGTAGATGGCAATGCAGAGTGGGAGAGATACATCAGAATTATAGCAAAAATCAATGGAAGTAATCTCAAGTCCCAAATTCCACCACTTTGTTTCTGATGTGGCTGCATTAGTACAGTTTTTAGAAGAATGGAAAAAGGAGACTATTTACCAGTATGACTCCTCTTATGAACCATTAAGACATTGAAGCTAATGCAGGATAATCCACATACATCGCAGTTCATCTTTCCACTGGTTGGCCTGCTACTATCATAGGAGACAACATGTCTCTCCAACTTAATGTTTTCATATTCATTATATTCCCTTGAGTAGCTGTAAGGAATTTCAGACTCTTCTGCATTTCCCATGGGCTCTGGCTTTAAAACATTCTCTTCTCTTTCATTGTATTCATCTTTCACTTTCATCAAATCATCTGCAGGGAAGAAAACACAAGAAATGAACAATGACTATATTTCGAGCTATCAAATCAACTCAAAAAGCACAGACCCACAACTGACAATTAAATACCAAATGAAGCTAACATAACATCGTACATCTACAAAACAAAAAAACACCATTAGGATGATTACTCATTATTTGAATTCAGAACCACAGTTAAAGGAAAACACATATACTCAACACTCATAAAAACAGAGGACAGGGGCCAGCCCGTGGCTCACTCGGGAGAGTGCGGTGCTGATAACACCAAGGCCCCGGGTTCGGATCCCATATAGGGATGGCCGGTTTGCTCACTGGCTGAGCGTGGTGCTGACAACACCAAGTCAAGGGTTAAGATCCCCTTACCGGTCATCTTTTAAAAAAAAAACAAAAAACAAAAAAAAAAACAGAGGACAGTGTTTTAGGCTATTCAGAAAATTAGAGATAAAGATTTTAGCTATGACTGCTCAAAGCAACCATGAAACAAACATTTTGAGCAACTCTTCTCCAGTACTGGGGGAGAAAAAGGTTTTCAGATCTAGTGTCTTTTTTGGTGGTTTCAGTTAAAAAGGCAAGGTAATGTGCTTTTATGTTTCAAGAAGAAAATACTATTTTAACCCTTCCAATACATCCAATTTCAGCCATGAAGGCTGACAGTAGAATAGTTAATATGGTTTTTCTGATTTTAAACCATGCTTTGCCTCTTTCCCTTCCATGTATATGAATTGCTAAAACACATTTTATCTCCCTGTTTCCCTTGGAACTGATAAAAAGATACAGCATTTAATGTAGAGGAAGCCGTCAGTACTAGCAAAATAGTTTTGAGAAAGATAAAGTGAGAATTCTTTAATGTAACCTAAAGAGCCACTTCCACTGACATGGGTAAATGGGGCTCAGCCTAAGCAAGGAGAAGGGCATCTATACCCAAGTCAGGGAGGACTAAACTATGACCCTAGTACTGTAGGACTGGACAGGAGAGGAGGAACTGGCCCAAGTGAGTTGGCTGACCAAGTACTATCCAAAGAGTTGTAACACTCTTAAGATGAAAAACATAACAAACGAAGAAGGCTGACATGAACAAAACTTTACCTGCTGTATGATAATAAACATTTATAAGGGAATTTTCATATATAAAATATGCTGTATTAATGCTTACTTTTTCAAACATTTGTTCTTGGAAATTGGAAGGTAGATTTCCCCATGAGGAATCACAAATCAATCTAATTTAGGGCTGAAAGGGAATTTAGAGATCATCTAATCCAACCCTCTTGTTTCTCAGATGAAGAAATACGGGAGCAGAGATGTTTTTAGTGATTTGTCCAAAGTTACACAGCCAGTTACTAGCAGAGGTATGATTAGAATGTTAAAGTCAACCTTGAACTATCAATTACTCGGACTTGACCTCATGCACTAGACATATAAGGTCTAAGTGGCTTCTTAACAACTATACTCCATACCCTCCCATCACTGGGGTATAGATGTTAAAACCCAAGACACTCTGAAAAATAAATTTTTTAAAACGACATCTCTTCCAAAAAACATCAGTGTTACTCCTGTTGCCACATAGGAGGAAGTGTAACTGCAGCTGTGCCTGACTTGCTACCTTCAACCCAAGTTTCAATTTTCACTTCTATCAAGGTTACCTTTCATCTATATTAACTGTGTTTGCTTAATAGAGCAAGACAGGACCTAACCACTAACATAGGAGCCATGGCTACAACACCGTTCCACTGCTTCTCACCACAGTTCATGGTTCACAACCTTTCACTCTTTGACTAGCAGACATGTAGGGCTGTAAGATAAGTTCAACATGTTTTAAATTGTCCATCCTATGCATCTGGGTTATTTATGAATTGATATCCATTTCCTACTTGGAAAGAGATTCGTTTCCTTCTTTCTCTGGACAGGTCTTGCCTGCTTTCAGATGGAATATTTGCTTAAGTGATTTTTGTTTTTTAAAAAAAATTTTTAAGAGGATGCACCTGAGGCTTGTACCCTCCTCCCTTCCTCCATCTCTCCAGCTGTGGGTGATATCCCACCAAAGCTTGAATGCTCTTCAGTTTGCATGTAGGCGTTTAAAAGAACCTCAACGGAAAACTTCAGATACTGAAAACCAAAAACAGCAGATAGGGCCAGCAGAAAAGGACCCTTTTCATTTTGGTTACAAAATGTAAATATGACCAGTCTCAGGCCACTCCATGGTCAGTGAACACTAAAAAACAATAAGATCAATGTGTTGGGTCTTTCTGAAAACAGAGGACAAAAGAGAGCTGCTCCTTTATTCAGGAATTTGGCCTTAGTAGGCCTGACCTGGAACTCAATACTATACCAACCTGACTCAGGATCAGATCTTGGCTTTAGTCCTTTAGGACTCATCTGTAGAGCAAGGAAGACAGTATTTGAGACCCAGGGCCATAAGGGAAATCATAGGAGTCACATGGAAAGGGCACTAGGGAAGTCCCTTGGATTTACTGGACCATTAAAGTTCCTGGTATAGTTGCTGGTATAGTTTACCTTTGGAGTCTACCAGCTTTAGGTAGATGACCCAGACAACCTCTCTGCATGGTTACTGGGGATTAGCAATTTATGGTTCATCATGTGAAGGTAAACAGAGTTGAATATTAGCATAAATCAGACTCTAAAGCACAGGTGAGGTTCCTGAGAGATTATTGGGATTAGCACCTAGACTCCAAACTTGGTCCACCAAAACAACCAGGAAAGACACTAGTCTGCTCTAAGAAAAAGATTCATTCCATTCCTTGGGAGAAGGATTTATTGGAGCAGAGGAAAGGAGGGCATTCTACTTACTACCTCTTAAAAATATTAATAAATATATCCAAAATCAAACATATCATCTTTGAGCCCAAACTTGCTTATACTTTATGACGATTTATATCTACAAACGGTATCTCCCTTCTTCCAGTCTCCAGGTCTTGAAACTCTCTTTCAATCTCTACATCAAGTCAGTCTCCAAGATCTATCAACTCTATTTTCAGGCTTTCTAGATGATGACATCTCTTTTCCTTTCCCTTTGCGATTTAGTTGAGCTTCTCATCACATCAGACCTAAAGTCATCCTCTCTCAACATTCCTTTCTAGACAGATTTACTACAAAGGTAATCTATGCTTACTGCCTTTACATCCTCAAAACTGACTCAAAATTCCCTGTAATCTGGCTTCTGCCTCCATAATTCATTGAATCTGCTCCCCTGAAGATCACCAACAATCCCCTGATTCCTAAATACAGTGCCTTTTTGTAGGCCACTCTCCCCAACTTCTCCGTAGGCCTTGACACTATTGACCATCATTCTGTTCTTTTTTATTCCTATTTCTTCAATGAAACTGTGCCTCCTTTCCTTACCTTTCTAATTGCTTCTTTCTAGCTCCTTTCCCTCCATATGCCTCCCAAATACTGTCCTTAGCCCTTTTTTTCCTTCCCTCTAGACCCCTCTCCTATGGCAATTTCATCTATTCTTAAGGCTTTGACTAGCATCTTATATGATTAATCCCCAAATACACATCTCCAGGTATAATCTCTCTCCCCTTCTTCAGTTATCTATTTCCAAAGGTTTCCTAGGTTACTCAGGCTAGAATCCCTACGGTCATCTTTGCTTCCTCTTATTTTCACCCCACATTCGATCACTCCTTGATTCTACCTTTGTACTCCATCTCCAGTCTGTTTCTCCATCCCACCATTCTGTATCCGCATTGTCCTAATTCTCAGACTTTCCCATGTTCCACTGCTTTGGCCTCCACATTGTTCTCCCTGCCTCCTTTCTCTCTCCTTTTCAGCTCATCTTGTACATTATCACAAGTCTGCTCTTCCTAACCTATAGCTCTGGTCATATCATGGCCCGTAAAAATTCTTCAATATTCTCCACTGCCAACAAAATAAAGCCCAAACTCAGAAACAGAATTCAAAAGGCCTTTTGAGATCTGGCCCCAACCTATCTTTGGAATGTTGATTTTGCCTATTGAGATCTTTAACCCAAGTAAACAACAACTTCTATGTATTCTTGGTTTTATTCACATTATATCCACTGTCTAAAAGGTCTTTCCCCAATATCACCACAGGTCCAAATCCTACACATATTTTATTTATTTATTTATTTTTATTTCTATTTTTGTCTTCTTTTTTCGTGTCCAGCAACGGATCGCAACCCTCAGTGTCGCGCCCGTACCGGACCAGGACCGGCAACGGGATCACAACCCTCAGTGCTGCACCCGCACCTTGCTCAGCCAGTGAGCGGGAACCAGTCTGTATGTGGGATCTGAACCCTCAGCGGGAGCGCCGCAGCACTCTCAAGCGGCGCACTGTAGCAGTGTGCCACCGGGCCGACCCCGAAATCCTACACATATTTTAAGGACAAAGTAATATGTTCTCTCCCCCGTACTATGCCTTCCCTGATCCCCCCAACTAGAAAATAGCCTGTTCCTTCTTCCTCTGAGTTACTTACAAACTCATCTCATCTCCTCAATGGACATGTAAGCTAGTTGAGGGCAGAAGCTGCACAAGTTTTGTGGGCTTTAAAAAAAACCTCAGTATTCCTTATAATACTGCTTAATCTATATCTGTAAGACCACAGGTTGTATGGTTTTAAAATAAAATTTTTGTGGCTCCCATAATAGATATAAAATCAGGGGGTGGAAACTGGAAATATGCATTTTAAAAATACACTTTCCTGGTAAACCTTATGCACAATGGAGTTTAAGAACCACTGTTCTAGAGTTTGATACAGTATCCTACTTAAAGTAGACAGCCATCAAACTCTTGGTACATGAATATACCATTGCATTAGCCTCTAACTGGCTCACAGTGCAGCCTTTCAACTGGGTTAGAGTGCAGCCTTATAACAACAAGGTCACAGGTTCGGATCCCTGTACTGGACAACAACTAAAAACCCCCCAAGCATTCAATGATTTCATCTTGCTTACAGAGTAAAGTCCAAACTCCTTAGCAAGGCATTCAAGGTCCTGTCCAGAACCTGCCCCGAGC